ATGCCATTAACTTAAAAATCGTGTCTACACAATATGTTCGGTAAAAGATTAATTATTTGACCAGGAAACCCATCCAACTAGACCGAACCTCCCACTAACAAAAATTTAACAACAATATGTTCAATGGGAAAATAACTAGCTAAATTAATAGTTTTTTTATATTGTCCACTTTGAGTCTAAGCTCTCATGGTCGGAATCACAGATCTCAACTGTGTTTTTATATTGTCCTCAACTGTGTTTTTATATTGTCCACTTTGAGTCTAAACTCTCATGACTTGTTTTTAATTTTTCCCAAAATGGCCTCATACCAATGGAGATGTATTCCTTACTTATAAATTCATGATCAACTCCTTAATTAGCCAACGTGGGACTCTCTCCCAACCATCCTCAATCATATTAAAAAGTACCTCAGTCCCAGCAATGCCCATAGCTAATCCAACATCTGCTTCATGGAGCGCCGGAGCATCATTTGTGCCATCCCCAGTCACTGCAACAACTTCTTGAAAAGTGGTCCGTAAGTGCTTTACAAGAGTATGTTTATCCATTGGTGAAGATCGAGCCATGACCTGAACAAGAAATACCAAAATTTGTTCAGCACACCAATTCTTGCAGGGTTAATATTAAGAGGATGTATGACAGTATTATAGTTTCAGAATCAAAATTCTTTTAAATGTACCTGAATTTTTGGTATTATTTCACTCCACTCTTCCTCCTTCTCACGGAATTCAGGACCTTCAATTGCTATGCCATCGTCAGTCAAGATTCCACATTCCCTGGCTATTGCTTTTGCGGTGGTGATGTTATCTCCCGTAACCATCCGTACGGTAATACCGGCGGCCTTGCAAATTGCAACAGACTCCTTGACACCCGGACGAACGGGATCCTTAATACCAACAATTCCTATGCACGTGTAGCCACTCGTGGGAACCGGACTTTCAGACTGATACTCACCTTCAATGTCCATGTAAGCCAAGCACAATGTTCGAAGAGCTTCTCCCGCAAATTCTTCGATAGTTTCCTTCAAAAAGTTGATGGACACTTCATTGAGAGGAACTGCCTCACCGTTCGAGTCAAGAAATTTGTCGCATGAAGCCAAAACGATCTCTGAAGCACCTTTGCTGTGTGCGCGGAAGCCACCGGCTGGGAGCTCCAAAACAACACCCATTCGTTTCTTCACAGAATTGAAGGGATCGACTCTCGCGATCTTTGACTTTTGGCGTTCTTTCTGAAAATCCCCACCAAGTAGAAGGCCGAATTCCAGAAGAGCAGATTCGGTGGGCGTCCCAAGTATTTCATTCTCGCCATCTATGTTCTTGACGATTTCTCCACCGGTGTTGTTAAATATCGATTGCAGTAAAATACCAACAGCGGAGTCGGGAAGTTCTGAACGATAATCAGAACACTTAATAGAATTGCCAACTTCCTTGACCTTAGTGCAGATGCAGGCTTTCACAACAGTCATGTGGTTAGTCGTCAATGTCCCAGTTTTGTCACTACAAATAGTAGTAGCTGATCCCATCGTCTCACAAGCAGCTAAGTGCCTGACAAGTGCCTTATCGTTCATCATCTTTTTCATAGCAAAAGCAAGGCTCAGTGTCACCGCCAAAGGCAGCCCTTCGGGCACAGCAACCACAACAATAGTTACGGCAACAGCAAAAAATTCCAAAACTTCCATTGCTTCATCTCCGGACCAGCTGAAGTAAGACCCTTCTCGTAGCTTGCGAGTGAACAATCCTTGAACCAATACAGCGAAAGTTATGACAGCAAAAAACAGGCCTATTTTACCAATAATTGTTGCCACCCCATTTAGCTTTACCTGCAAAGGAGTCTCGTCATCTCCTCCTTCACTTAGAGTGGCCATCAGTTTTCCCCATTGGGTTCTCATGCCTACAGAAGTCACAACCATCTTACACGAACCATCCTGAACCTTTGTTCCGGACAAGAGGAAAGGGTTTTGACAACTTACGTTAACTGGTTCGCTCTCACCTGTTAAACTAGATTCATTTATCAGAAGAGAGTACCCTGAAACAAAAAGTCCATCTGCTGGTACCTGATCACCCATGGCAAGATGAACAATATCACCAGGAAGAAGTTCGTATATAGAAATCTTTTGTCTCAACCCATTTCGGGTAACCTGAACCGCAATTTTCTTCTTTTCCTTGTCCAAATCCTTGAACTGAAGCGATTGTCTATAGTCACTGGTAGCAGTGACAAATACAACAAGTAAGATACTCGCAACAATGCCGAGCCCATCATGAGCACCCTTCGGCCATCCTTCCATCGCTATGCCAACAAGAAGGGAAACTACAGCACAGAAAGCGAGTATCATTAGAGTTGTATCCTGGAGAGCTTCCCAAAGAAAGAGCAAAAATCCTCGAGATGGGCTTTCGGTGAATTTGTTAATTCCATAAATGTCTTGTCTTTTCTTTATCAAATGGTCTGTAGTACAGATGCCCGTCTCCGTTGATGTAGCAAGCTTAGTTGCAATACCCTCTGCACCCCCATGAATTTTCAGCTTCTTCACATCACGGCCGTCAACAATGGAGCCTGCTTCATCTGCACAAATTTCGAAACCTGCCTGTCTGACCTCTTCAGGCACAACGTAATCAGGATACAAATCCAACCCTGCAGGCATTCAAAGACAATTCAACGTGAATTACTAATGTATAACCACAATTTTCAGTTGATCGCATAATCAAAACCTTCCTTAATTACCATTGATGAACTGAAGCGCTGCTTGTGAAACCAAAACTGCAACTCTGAACTTCTCCTGCAACAGAGGTTGAAAAAGAACAATTCCGCATTATAAGAAAAGAAAATCGTATTGCAGATCATAGTTGTTGTTCGAGATTGGACTCCGATGCATATTAGAAAATTGTGAAAAACAAGTTTACAGTGACTAGTTATCACACCTATACTCCGTCCAAAAACTTCCAAAACCATCACAAACTAATAATGAACACCTTGAACATACTTCTACATCCACTTGCATATTTTCACGAGTTGTGACAAAATGGAATTGAAATCTCTTATTCAGATTGGACCATATATAGAATTGAAGATACAAAAGAAAAGAAAACGGAGTAATTATTCGGATTCAGTAACTTCAGAACATCCACCTACTACATCAAGCTCTTAGGTTCAAGGATATGATAAGGGGGGCAAGAATTAGAATCAATGAGAAACCTGAATGGAGCGTCTAATAGCATCAGCCTCAAATCGTTTAGAGAGATTAGCAGTAAATCGAAACCTTCTTCTACGATTCTTCACCAACCAGCAAAGCCGCCTCCATCTCTGAAGCGCTTCTTCCGATGAGTTCTTCGGCTTAACGTCCCCGAAATTCTCATTCAAATAACTTTCCATCCCTACTCTATTACCTTCTGACCTTCAATTTCAAGATCTACAGCTATTAAAGAAAAACAACAACTCTAGATCTTGCTTCAGCTTCAAGATCGGCATACAAATCAAGCCACGACAAAGGGCGATAAAAACGGAGTCAGAAGATGAAAAGAATCGGCCTCCTCCGAGTCCTCGATCTGATACAATAGTTTCTAATTGCGCTTCACTTGTTCTACTATTACCAGAAACAAGGAAACGTGAGCAATGAAGAATGAACAGAGAGGCTTAGTTCGTCCAAATAACACAGAAGAGAAAACAACCTTTGAATCTTCAGCTCAGGCAGCTTGTTTTGGACTCCATGGGCTCCGGTGGCTGATTCTGCGAAATCTATTTATAATTGGTTGGTTTGGACCATTTTGACGGCTATTACAGTTACCGTGGATTGGAGGGCTTTGTCTCTAAATTTTGAATCCCATTTTCTATCTTCTCCAGTTTTCTCCCTTTATATTTTTTAAATAAATATTTCAAAATTATTATACTTTTATTTTTTATTTTTTACTAAATTATATATAAAAACAAAATAGCACTCCTCAAAGTTTGTGTTCAGGAAAAAAATAATAATTAGTATTGGTCCATCCATTAATAAAAATATTCTTAAATTTTATATTTAGTTTAAAAATATTTTTGAATTAGTTTTATATTAAAATGGTTAGTATTTTGTTGAATTTTATAATATTTCAAAAAAAATTATTAATACACTTCTAACCTAATAAAAAATTCTTACGAAAAAATACCCATTCAATTTTAAAAAGTAACATCAAATTAATATATAAATTCTCTATAAACTTTTTAATTTACTTTTAAAGATTCACACGTATTTATATTAAAATTTAAAGGTATTTTTAAACTTTTTAAAAAGTATTTTTGAAACTCTTTTAAAAGTTTAATAATATTTTTAAAACAAAAATATTAACAATCTAGGGACGTTTATAGTTATTTTTTATATATTTTTTTTTAAGTTTACGGGTATTTTTAGATTTTTTTTAATACAATACAAAAATTAATAATATTTTTATTAATTTAACCTTAAATTTTATGAGAAAGTTGATTGATAACTATTTAATGGTTGGTTTTTTCAAAGTTAAAAAAAAAACATGAGGCCTCCAACTCATCAAGAGTTGAAAAAGGATGTTATGATAATTGAGTCATTACTATAAAAATTCATTAAAAGTAAATATCAACTTTATTCTCTAATCTCTAATTTATTTATTTATCTACTTATTTTTATTAAATATAAATAATTATCATTACAAAATCCATCGGTATAAATACAAAAGTAAATGTGTTTCATAACTTTTTTTAATTTAGCTGTTTCTTGTGTTTAACGGCATATAGACAAAAGTAAGTAAAAGGATTAAATGCACAGACTATAAAATTAAAATACTATTTGGGGTAGATGCATGTATTCCAACTTTAACTAAATTTAAACTATTTATAAATAACAAATAATTAGATAAGATATAGTAATTTTCAGAAACAAAAATGCTCTCGTAGCTCAGTTGGTTAGAGCACCCGTTTAGTAAGCGGGAGGTCTTGAGTTCGACTCTCAACGAGAGCATTAGTGTTATGTTTTTCCTTTTTCCTTTGTCTTTTCCTTTTTCTCGCTGAACAAAAACCCCGCGGGATATGAAAAATCGAATGCGAGGGTTTTTGAAATTCCCACCCCCTCTGTAAAAACCCTCGCTTCTCGTCACCCGCCTGGAAATTTCTCTTCAATTCTTTAAACCCTAAGGCCCGCAAGATGAACGGTAAAGGTCCCGGACTCTTCTCCGACATAGGCAAGCAAGGCCGAGGTAAAAAGCTTATGCTCCTTCCCCCTCCTGCTATAACTTCATCTCATTGGTTACTGGAATTATCTTTATCGCCAGCCTATTAGAAAACTCTTCCATGATTTGCAGACTTACTTTTCAAGGACTATAGCAATGACCAGAAGCTTACCATCGCCTCCTTTTCCGACACTGGAGTGGTATCATCATTTTCTTTTCTTTTCTGCCCTTGACCTGCTTCGCGTTTGATTCAGTATCGTTTACATCTTGATTCTGTAGTTTATATGTTTTTTTTTTTTTTTTTCTGCTGTCCTGTTTTATCTTCTTGAAGACTAGACGAGTTCTTTATTTCATTTCAGTGACAACTTTGATCAATGGATGGTGCGTTTCTGGAAGGCTATGGCTGAAAATGTTTATGTAGTTATAAATTTAAATGTTTAACTCCTGTTTATCTATTACCTTGGAATAGGCCTTTGTAAATCTCAACCATCCCTGGTTTCCTTTGAATCACATTAAGTTTTGAGGATGTAGGTCTACTGCTTCAAACGACTTGAAAACTTTGGTTCATTTGTGTGCCAGCGTTGCCTTAGGCTGTGTCTTCCTCGAAATTCTATATGCGATCCGGAAGCCTGATTTACTAAAATTGTTGATAGTATTATTACTTGCTTTGATGTTGACAAGAATCTTAGTGAAAACATGCCATCGATTTGGGTGTCTGAACTTGACTTAACTGAAACATAAGTAATTTCTGTTTTCTTTTAGGGCCTGAACTCGACCGTGGTCAAGAGGGGAGGTCTTTACACAGGCGATGTGGCAGCACAATACAAGCATAAGAACTCTGTTCTTGATTTCAAATTTGACACCGAATCCAATGTAGTTGATCTTTGTCCTTATTTCCTGATAAGATTTATATGTGTATTCTTTAGATTTTCCAACATTGTATCATTCATGCAGATCTCCTCAGTCCTCACAGTTACAGATATTCTGCCATCCACACATGTCATTGCTTCATTGAGGCTCCCAGATTACAACTCCGGCAAGGTAATGTTTTCAAAGTAGACTTGAGATGAATCTATATTTATGATTTCCCCTATAAATTGCAATCTCACAACCTTTGAGATTTAATATCTGCAAGTTCATCTGTTACAGTTGGAGGTTCAACATTTCCATGAGCATGCTACATTTACTACAGCCTTTTCTCTGAACAAGTCTCCTTCAGTAGATATTTCAGCAACCCTTGGGACACCCCACATCGCTTTTGGAGCGGAAGCTAGTTATCTAACAAATTCTGGTCTTTTTGCAAAGTATAATGCTGGGGTGAGTGTGCCAAAGGCAGATTCCAATGTATCAGCAATATTGTAAGTGCTTGTTCTAAGGGTTGTTCATTGTGATTTTGCCTTGATTAGTTTGATGTCTAGATGCACGCATTTTAATTTTATTGTATTATTACATGACCAACATGAAGATTGATGGGTAATAATATCAGGATGATTGCTGAGCAGTCATGGCATTTATTTTAAAGTTTGAACCTCCTGGGTGTATTCATCATTTTGAATCATAAAGACTTGATATGTGAAACATCTTGGAGTTAAAGTAAGCCACTTAATTGTTTATCAATCTCTCTATTACAGGGCCGATAAAGGGGACTCGGTAAGAGTGGCATACTTGCACCGTTTCGAACAGCTGAATGGGGGAGCGGTTGTGGGAGAAATCAGCAGAAAGTTCTCCACGAATGAGAATACATTGACAGTCGGATGTTCATATGTGGTTGACTCTCAAACAGTTGTGAAAGCTAAACTTAACAACCATGGCAATCTCGGGGCTCTTCTGCAGCACCAGCTGACACCGAAGTCTTTTCTTACTATATCTGGTGCATTTGACACGAATGCTTTGGCAAATTATCCCAAGTTTGGGTTGGCGCTATTTTTGAAGCCTTGAAATATCAAAAGGATTTATACAAGGGTGAATCTCAAACATGAGTAAGTTCATGTCGGTTTGTGTTGTCTTTGTAGTCATAATTCTTTGCTCTCATCTCTTTTTTTTTACTGTTGTGTAATAGTTAAATAGATTCTTGACAGTTTCAGACATTTCCTTTTCCACTTATTTATGAGTGGAGAAAAAGATAAGAGTGGAATTGCAGTTTTCTTTTCTTTTTTTTTTTTACCGAATGGACCGGTCTAGTCTGAAAACTATAATATTAAGATTTAAATTTTTAAAAATTAAGTGAATAAAATATTATAAAATTTATTATTATTTCATTAAAAAAAAAAAATCCATAAGATTCTAGAGAAAAAATGAAATCTAAAATAATATACTGATATCTGGGGGAAAAGTTATAAGAGAGAAATAAACAGAAAAATAATATAAAGACTGGTGGAGTGGGCAGTTGGGTTAAACCGATTCTTGTTCTAATAAAATATTTTCTTGTTTTAATTCATTTTCACAATGATTCTGCAATTTTCACCCTAATATCTGTCACCCTCATCTTGATTCTTTGGTACTATCTTTCACCCTCATCCTTGAAACTATGGAAATCTTTGAAGAAACCAGCGATGGAAGCAATGTCCACAACGACGGTCATTCTTCTCCAACCGAAAGCAATGTGCCGACAAGACACCGACTGTTCAGAGCGAAGTACGCGCCTGAGGCGGTTGTCAATTGGTACATGATTGCTCTTGACAAGAACACCACTCTGAAGAAATCGGCCGTCAAGGAGGATGCATTAGGTCATCTTCTGTCCATGGGATGGAAGATTTACTACATTCAGAAGAAAACTAAGCAAGAGTTACGATACAAATGCCCGAGCGGTAGGGTTTACATTTCTCTCAGAACCGCCTGCAAAACCTGTATCGATCAAGGCGGCGCCGGCCTCGCCTTGCCTACCGTCACAGTTTCCGAAGGAGAAGGAAAAGAAACTGCACCCTTCTTGAAAAAACCTAATGACGACTCGGAAGACTCGGAATGCGTTAAATCACCAGCGCCGCCGCTGCGAAATTGGGGCAACATCAAAACCCCGCCATCGCCTCCGCAGGCAGCGGCTGGAGGTACTTCACAGCGGCACCCACGAATAGCTTTGTCTAATTTGATCGATCAGAGCGTAGTGTCGCCGGGAGATCGGGCGTATTACAAAATATCATCGAAGAACGATCCATTAATGGCTTGGGGATCGATAACAGATGAAGGCCTTATTAAATGCGATTGTTGCTCTGAAGTGTTCTCTATTAGCAATTTTGAGGCTCACACAGGCAGTACAAAACGTAGGCCGGCGGCCAATATCTTTCTGGAAGATGGGCGATCTTTATTGGACTGCCAAATGCAAATTGATCAAAATCAAAATCAAAATCAGAACGAGACAAAAGGTAATGATCAAAAGGTGAATAAAACTACCACCACGCTCTGTATGGACAAAAACGACAGCATCTGTTCCATTTGTCATTTTGGGGGCGAGTTGATCTTGTGCGTTCGGTGCCCTGCTGCTTTTCATGGCGGCTGCCTCGGTTTCAAGGGCATCCCACTTGGGGATTGGGCCTGCCCATCGTGCTGCTGCAAAATTTGTGGCCAAGTCCCATATAATTTCGATGGGGTTGTTTCTGATCATCAACCCGATGCCTCTTTGGTCAAATGTGTTCAATGTGAGCAGAATGTTCATATTGGATGTGCAAGGAGCGTTCAATTTCTTGAAGATGGTAACCCAAATCAAGCGATGGATAGAGAAAACTGGTCTTGCACCAAAAGATGCGAGGATATCCACATGGGTCTGCAGAAGCTTTTATGGAAACGAAACCCAGTAGGTGTAGAACAGGGCAATCAGGGCAATCTCACATGGACATTGATGAAACATACAGACACCATGTCTGAGCATCAGAGGAAGAGGCTGAACACTGCTCTTGGCGTAATGCGTGGGGGGTTTCGGCCTTTGAAGGATCCCAACACGAACCACGAGCTGATGGAAGATGTTGTGTTCGGCAGAAGATCAAACTCGAAACGCTTGAACTTTGAAGGATTCTACACAGTGATTTTGGAGAGAAAAAACGCAGTAACAACAGTGGCAACAGTGAGAGTTTATGGGGAGGAAGTGGCTGAAGTTCCATTTGTTGTGACTCGATTGAGACACCGGCGGCATGGGATGTGTCGCACATTGATGAACGAGCTGGAACGACAGCTGATGAAATTGGGAGTGAAGACACTGACATTGCCGGCTGTTGGTGAGGCGCTCAACATTTGGATAGACAGATTTGGGTTCTCGAAGATGACATGTTGTGAGAGATTAGAGCTTGCTAAGTACACATTGTTGGGGTTTCCGCACACGGTGAGGTGCCAGAAGGATTTAGAGAAGAGGATTTCAAATGATGCGGAATGGTGTCCAATGAAGTGGCCGACACCAAGTGTTGAAGAGCATGATATAAGTGTTGAAGAGCATGATATCCTTGATCAGATGTCTTTCGATGATTGGAGCTCCATTTCAGATGCATTTGATTGAACCCATTATAGATTTTTTTTTGGATTTTTTTTTTTTAGATAATTGAAAATTGTATATGGACTTCGCACCAAAATAAATAAAAATATTGGTTCTATCTCGCTTGGAGAGAGGAACGAAACATTGTTATAAGGGATGTGGAATCCTTTTTCGTAGAATATGTGTTTAAAGACCTTGAGTGAAAGCCCTTGAAAGGATATGAGATTCCATATCGATTGAGGAGTGGAAGGAAGCCCTTGAAGGAAGATGAGAAAACATTCCCTTTTCTCCAGAGACGTGTTTTAAAACCCTAAGGAAAGCCTTTGAAAGTTTTAAAACCCTAAGGAGAGCCTTTGAAAGTCTTTGAAAGATGCATTTTAGAAACATTCATTATAAGAGGTGTAGAAACCTCTCCCTAACAGAGGCGTTTTAAAACCCTAAAGAGAGCGTTGGGCTTTGGCTGTTACGAATGGTTTCTGAGCAAGTCATCTTGCGGGCAGTTGTTGGGATATGGAGCCTGATGCTAGCACTTGAGAGCCCTTGAAGGATGCATTTTAGAAATATTCGGTTATAAGAGGTGTAGAAACGTGAAAGTCTCCCTAACAGAGGCGTTTTAAAACTCTGAAAGAGCTCTCGATCTTGAATTGTTACCTTGAATTGTTACGAAGGAATAGATGGAGCCTGATGCTTATTTATAGTAAATAACTAATAGAGATATATACGGTAGATATTTTATAAGAATCAGCTATATAATAGATATTTCATAAAAATAGCAGAGAGATATATATATGGTATTAGAATCAGCTATATAATAGATATTTCATAAAAATAGCAGAGATATATATATGGTATTGAGATATATACAGATGGTAGATATTTCGTAAAAACAGTAGATATATACAGATGGTAGATATTTCGTAAAAACAGTAGAGATATATGGTAGAAGATATTTCATACGATAGATGTTCGGTAAAATTTAGTAAAACTATGTTTAGTAAACTATCATTGTAAATACAGTTATCAATAAAACTTTTTAGCTAATATTAGTCTTTTAATTTTCTCTCCCCTATTCTTTTAATTTTCATCCTAATCAAGTGAGTGAGTTGTTGTGACAATACCAATAAGGACATTGGACCCCAAGGGGTGTATTGTGACGACACCAACGAGGACATTGGGTTCCCAAGGGGTGTATTGTGACGATACCAACGAGGACATTGGGTTCCCAAGGGGTGTATTGTGACGATACCAACGAGGACATTGGGTTCCCAAGGGGTGTATTGTGACGATACCAACGAGGACATTGGGTTCCCAAGGGGTGTATTGTGACGATACCAACGAGGACATTGGGTTCCCAAGGGGTGTATTGTGACGATACCAACGACGACATTGGCCTCCCAAGAGGTGTAATGTGACGATGCTTGGTCCTTGAAGAGTTTAGGTTGTTACACATAGTATCAGAGTCCATCACCAAGCAGTAATGGAGAAACACCCTTAAAGGGTTTGAGAGCGGTTACAAATGGTATTAGATTTAGTTATTGGGCCGTGTGCCAATGAGAACATTGTTTAACCCAAGGGGGTGAATTCTAAGATCTTACATCCTAGAGGGAAACAAAACATTACTTTTAAAGGTATCACAAACGTTTTAATATCTCCCCCTAACACGAGTTTTAAGACTTTGTAGAAAAAGGGGGACAAACGTTTTAATATCTCCCCCTAACGCATGAGTTTTAAAACTTTGTAGAAAAAGGGGACAAACGTTTTAATATCTCCCCCTAACACATGAGTTTTAAAACCTTGTAGAAAAAGGGGGACAAACGTTTTAATATCTCCCCCTAACACGAGTTTTAAAACCTTGAAGAAAAAGAGGAAAAGCCCTCCACGGAAAGGAAAATGCTGGTTGAACGAGAATCACATTTAAATGAAGTAAAAGTTGATATAAAAAGGAAAAATAAAGTAATGAAATGAAATTTGGCATTAATTATGAAGCATTAATAAGCATTGAAAAAGTCATACTCCAACGCCCAACCTTCCATTTGGTAGAAGAATCATTAATGTTCATAAAGCTTAATTAGAAGCTAAATGTGATTGTAATTAACGCATTTCACTCCCTAACTACCCCCTCTAATTAATTTACATTACCCATTGTTCATCGAAGTCGAATCCAATTTCAAATCCAACCCCATCAAACATCAAACAAAAACAACAAACTAAACAATCTTACCCACAACCAAAGATCAAATTGGTGGTTCACACTTCTTATTTCGAGTCAAAATCCTTGCATACTCCTTTCGTTTCATTGATGTTCTTGATCTCGACGAACTCTGTTTCAAAACAGGGACCAGATACCAAGCCACACAAGTGCACATAATCGTCACCGATCTCCCAAAAACACACAACAAAACCAGAATCAAAATCAACATAGCTGTAACATAATAACCTGGTTTCCTCAATTTCCTCAAAGTTCTCCCTCGTACGAGGATCTTCTTGTCGGCCTGCTTCTGGGTTATTGCCGGTTTGATATCATTCACACGCTTCTCCTCTTTCTTCTCCTTCTGTTTCACAACCACAGGAACACACTCATCTGAATTCTTGTAAGCAAAACGGACCAAAACAATGTTTTCTGGGTCAGTTCGAGCGTAAATTTGCTTCCTTTTCTGTTCAAGATCGGTTAAAAGAGCAGAGAATTTGTCGAGGCCACGGTCGGAGTAAGGGTTCTTCTTGTCTTTGCTGTGGGGTTTGAGGCCATTTCTGGGCTTCCTTGGAGTACAATGGGGGCTGCCATTAGAGGACAGCGATTCTTGAGGCATTAGTGATGGAGAAGAAAAGGGTTTATTTGGGTGGATTGATGGAAGGAAATGATGAGCATTACAACCATTTATGGAATCCAGATCCAAGCAGTTAGTTTTGTCAAATTAAAATCTTCAAATGGGCTGTTGATTTGTTTGACTTTGTAAGAGACGGGAGAATGGGTATGAAATTGGTTAAATAAATTGGAAGTACAACTTGAAGAGGAGGTTTTAATTCCTCAACAAGCAAACCTATACCGATTAAAATAAAACAAGTCCAACATGTAATATTAAATTTTATTTGTAGTTTTAATTAAACTTAATAAAATTCTTATTTTGAAACTGTCTTGGCCCCTTCCCTATTCGTTCACACCAATATTTCTGCCCACGTAAAGCTCGAATCCTTCTTTGTACATCTTGATACTCGTTATGACTCAATGTACACTGTTCACTTGATATGATATTGTTCGTTCTCATGACTTTGGTTTACCCCAAAAGACTTCATTTCAATGAAAATAGTGTCGTTCACTTATATACCCATGATTTTTTATCTTCATCGATAGAACTTGTATGATTTTTATGAACTTTAGATTTATGTTTAATAGGTCCTGTGAACTTTAAGAATATAAAATAGGTGTGGCTGGTTGGTGTGAGATCTCACATCAGTTGGAGAAGAGAATGAAACTGTGAGATCCTACATCGGTTAAGGAGGAGAACGAAACATTCTTTGTAAGGGTGTGGAAACCTTGAGGGAAAAGTCGAAATGAAAAACCCAAAAAGAACAATATCTGTTAGTGGTGGTGTGATGTCCCACATTGATTGTGGAGGAGAACAATCCACCATTCATAAGGATAAGGGTGTGGAAACCTTCCCCTAGTAGATGCGTTTTAAAGTCTCGAGGGGAAGCTGAAAGAAAAGTAAAGCCCAAAGATGATAATATGTGCTAGTGGTAGATTTGGGTCGTTACAAGTGGGCTTGAACCAAACACTGGGCCATGAGAAAGCTGAGCCCCGAAGTGGGGTGGACACAATGCGGTGTGCCAACAAAGACGTTGGGCATCGAAGAGGGGGTGGATAATCCCAGGTGGGCTGGCTTGAACCAAACACTGGGCCATGAAAAAGCTGAACCCCAAAGTGGGGGCACTGAAGAGGGGTGGATAATCTCCATATTGAATATGGTGTGGATATCTCTCCCTATCAATGGTGTGAAAACCTTAAAAGGAAGCGTAAAAGTAAGAGTGTAAAGCTAGTTCGGATAAGAGAGAGCTTGCAAATTCAAACAAACCGATTACCATCTACGCCCTCCAACCTTAACATTTCTCCATTTGAATCTTTGAATCCATTCTGTGCCCCTTTCCCCTTCCTTATCTCCTGCACATTGTCTTCCTCTTCCGCTGACTCACAATTCACTCACATTTCTCTGCCTCTGAGTTACTCAACCACCCATTTACCCACAGCCATGGCCTTCGCAGGAACCACCCAGAAGTGCATGGCTTGCGACAAGACTGTCTATTTGGTCGACAAGCTCACTGCCGACAATCGCGTCTTCCACAAAGCTTGCTTCCGCTGCCACCACTGCAAAGGAACCCTCAAGGTAATCAATCATACCTCGTTCATTTCAACTCTCATCTATCCATGAACTTAATTCTTAATTGGGCTGCTACATTCATTTCGATTTCTTGAAATGGGCTCTCAGATCAGCTCAATTTCAGTGGGCTATGGATGAATTTGAATTCAACGATTCACTGATTAACGGATCTGATTTGCAGTTGAGCAATTACAATTCGTTTGAAGGGGTTCTGTATTGCCGCCCACACTTCGATCAGCTCTTTAAAAGAACAGGAAGCTTAGCCAAAAGCTTCGAAGGTATTAAGAAAAGAAACTAAGTTGGTATTCCATCACTAATCTCAAACCAACATTCGTTCTATCTTGTGATTTTAGGAACACCGAAGATTGGGAAGAAGCCAGCTGATTCTGAGGTGCACCTAATTAATTACTCTGTTTTACTCTGTTATTGTAAGTGATTACTGAACATCATTTGACAGAAACCAGCGGCGACCAGGGTTGCAAGCATGTTTGTCGGCACCAAAGACAAGTGCCTTGGCTGTAACAACACTGTTTATCCGACCGAGAAGGTAAACGTGAGCTGAAATGGACGAATAATTGTGGATTCAGAACATCATTTGAAGCTTTGTTTCTCAGGTTTTAGTGGATGGAACCTCGTACCACAAGAGCTGCTTCAAGTGCTGCCATGGCGGATGTACAATCAGCCCATCAAATTACATCGCACACGAAGGCCGACTCTACTGCAAACATCACCACACTCAGCTCATCAAAGAAAAAGGAGACCTGAGCCAGCTTGAGGCAAACCATTAAAGAACCACGCATTCACAGACCCTTTTGCATATTTTCAGCTGTCTTCCTTTTTGTTCCCGTTTTTCTGCTGTTCCTTTACCTGACCTTTAGCACAAAGCTCCCTTTTTGCTGTAATTGCATTGAAATTTGAACGTTATGTTAAAAACAGATGAAGTTATCGTGTGGGTCTCTCTTGTTTTCCGCTTTGGTTGTTGAATTCAAACAAGCTAATAAAACTAAAGCTAAAATATACATAAACATTTACGGTTTCTTTATGGCTATATGACCCTCTTGTAATTCGACACTAAAATATACATAAACATTTACGGATTACGTAATTTCTAGATGTGGTTCAGAGGCAACAAAGTCACAAAACTAAGTAGAGCTAAGGCTATGGCTATGGCTGAGGCTCTTTTTTGTTCTTCTTGTTCTTTGTACATTTAGATTTGATTATCAAATATTTATACAAATGGGATTGGAAGCATCATTGATATGTTTTGTTTTTTGAGTGTGGAACCTCCACGTGAAGAGGTAGTCTCGAGACGCGCAGGAAAGTTTCACGACATCGCAATAGGCGGTGATGGAATTTTTCTTTCCGCCGCCGTTTCCCCAATCGATCCTGACCCAACAAGAGAACCCATTAGAGGAATGGGGAACCGCCGCCGCGTCGGAGAGTTGGAGCATCACTTCGCCGCCGATTCTTCTCCCTTTGAGGCGTCGTTCGTCTCCTTTCACCATCGACTCCAGCCATGGGCACTCTGGCTGCCCGACCATCTCCTTGTAGGCAGAATTCGCCATTCTCACTTTGTTGTTCGAGTCCGATATAACCGCTGGTAACACCTCCGATTCAACCTCCTTTTCCACTTCATCTGGGTTCTTCGGCGGCTGAGGAGTGGTTGAGTGGCTCGCGGTTTGGGTTTTATTGATGCACCCAACGAGGATGATCGAACCAACAGGTCGAACAGGGTGCGGCGTTATAACGTTGCAAGTGGACACCGGCGCTTGAAGTTGCTGCAACAGATCCTTCTCTTTGGGAATTTCAGAAACTGCAGCACTATTCAATTCCAACCCCTTCTCATCATCAAACGACATAATAAAATTAATCTCAGAGCCGCGGCAGTTTTCCTCAGAAATAGAAGACGGCGGACCACAAGGAAGAAGCGGAAGCGTCACCAGATTAGAACCCACATGCGTATCTTCAAACCCAGCAGCGCCGCCGTTAAGAGCTGCAATAGAAAGGCGAGGAAGTAAAGAAGAAGAGGAAAAGGCGTGAAGAGACAAAGCGGAAGGGGTAGTCCTGGATCGCTTCAAGGGGTGAGGCGAAATGGGTGTAGAACGACCCCGCTTACGGGTCCGAGTGGGCCTGGCCTGCAAGTGCGGCCATACATTAGTAAGGAAGGCAGAGTGGGGAATGTTGTGAGATTGAAAGGCGGTGGGGGAGTCGGGCTTGGGGGCAATCGGCCGGTATTTGGACATGATCTCGGCCGTCTTGTCAGTGGAGGTGTAGGGAGGGAGGGTCTTGATCATGGTGGCGGTGGGGCGGAGAGAGAGGGGGAGAGAAAAGGAAGTTAAGGGAATGGAAAGGGTGGGTGAAGTGAGGAATAGGGGAATAAGGGGAAGGGGAAGATGAAGCAAAAAGGGGGGAGAAAGGGACAGGTGGAAGTGTACGTGGAGGAAAGGAGAAGAGAAAAGGAGACATGTGGGAAGGCCAACGCATATCCAATGGAAGAATCAATGGGCTGAGGGTGAGGTTGGGAGGGGCACCAATGACAATGAGAGAGAGAGGGGGATGGTTAGGGGGGTGAGTGGCTGCCATGCGTGGATCCATGTATCAGGATTGGCTTGGTTGGGGGACATGCAAAACAGAAAGGGGTAAAGGAGGGAGGGAGGGTGGTGTGGGGGCGTTGGAAACGGCGCCTTCCTTTGTTTCTTTGCTTGCTTTGCTTGTACTTTAGTGCGAGCTTTGGTCGAGTTGGCTGCGGTTGGTGGATCGGAGTTTAGTGTCATTACGGCTTCACTCCAGAGGATCACGCAAAGCATTGAGCTTCAAAATTGGATGCCTATTTTATCTATTGCCATTGGGATTAACCCACCTATCCACATCCTCTTTTTAACCTTTTTCACTTTTTCACCTCTTTTCTTTTCTTTTTTTAACGAGAGATAACAATAGATTGATTTTGAGGATACCTTATATAACTCATCTCTTTGGGTTCCGCCTTTTCGCTAGCACATGGTTCTATTTTTGGTTTTGATATCATTTGTAGCTTTTTCTGTTACATGTCGCCGTCAACCTTACATTCTTAAAATGTGCAGAGATGTTATTTTAAATTATTAAAAAAAAAAAAGTAAAGAAATTGAATGGATTATAAAAATAAAATAGAACCAAGGCAGTCCATAATCAGGAATAACAGACAAGCAACAGCCAGTTTATCAACAACTGTCTCTCCTTCACAGTGTGTCCTTTGGAGTTCACAGACGAATGTTCTGTTCTGTTCTGCCCATCACCTCATGGAGCAGAAATGTAACACTTTTTTTTTTTTTGATACAAAAACCACTTAATTTGAAATATAAAAACGTGAGTTATGATTCTGGTAATCAATTTTGGAATGATGGAGTTTAAATGCGAGATTATAAGTTTTGTAACTGTCGGTTTTGTTCAAATTTGGGTTGTTTATCCCTTCAATTTATATACAGTTTCTTCCCTAATTCTCATGCATTTGTCCCCTGTTTCTTCTTCAATCTTGCAAACTGATATCATTTTAGTGAGCCATGGCTAACAAAACTGCCGAGGATCCGGTTCAGCCTCACCCAGTGAAGGAACAGCTACCCGGAATCCAATACTGCATCAACAGCCCTCCACCATGGCGTCTGTGTTCTTTCTCATACTCTTTCATTTTCATTCCCATTTCTAATTTGCTTCAGTTTTGATGAATCTTTCCTTATGTTCAGCGGAGGCCTTTATGTTGGGTTTTCAGCATTATGTTCTAACACTTGGTTTCAGTGTTCTGATTCCTAGTTTGATTGTTCCCCAAATGGGCGGCAGCGATGTAAGATGTTCTTGAATTTCTACTACAACGTTTTTTCTTAAAGTTTCTCAAAATGCCTTTAGCTTGTTGGGTTTTGATATCTCAGGCTGAGAAGGCCAAGGTGATTCAAACCCTGCTATTTGTTTCTGGATTGAACACACTCTTTCAGTCTTTGTTCGGGACTCGACTGCCGGTGGTGGTCGTTGGTTCATACGCCTATCTTGTTCCTACCATCTCCATTGTTTTGGCTAAGAGATATGCTTCATTGACAGATCCTCAAGATGTAAGACTCTCCTACTTCTTCTGAAACAACTATGTGCTATCTTCTCCTTTAACTCTTGGCATTTACTTGTTGTATACTTCAGAGATTCATTCAAACCATGCAAGGAATACAAGGAGCTCTTATAGTGGCTTCATGTTTTCAAATGGTTATGGGTTTCCTTGGCTTTTGGAGAAATACTGTGAGGTGGGTAAATGCTTAGTTTGTACGTTTCTAAACCATGTTGAACTTGTTGTGACTTCTTTTAAAAATTACTTCTGGATTAGATTTCTCAGCCCTCTCTCTGTGGTTCCCTGTGTAACCTTCACTGGACTTGGTCTCTATCATCTTGGCTTTCCCATGGTAAGGAAATAGAAACCCATTTGCTCTTTAATCTTGCCTTGGCTATCAATTTTCTATCTCATCAGCTAGCTCTAGAGAGCTTATTTCCTCTGTTGTTTGCTGTTTTAGGTGGCAAAATGTATAGAAATTGGCCTTCCAGGACTGATTATTGTAGTGTTCATCTCACAGGCAAGTAAAAACTCATATCATCCTTCTTTCAGCTTCACTATGTGCTTAAAGGGTATCACAAACTGATCTTGTTTGGTTTGTGGTTTTGCAGTATCTTCCTCATTTATTGAAAACAAAGAAGCCAATATATGATAGATATGCAGTGCTGTTTTCAATTGCTATCATTTGGTTATATGCACAGCTCCTAACTTCAAGTACTGTTTATAATCACAAACCCACAAATACTCAGAAAAGTTGTCGCACTGATCGAACTGGGCTTTTGAGTACTGCTCCTTGGTGAGTATAACTCTAGCTACTGAATCAGGACGTTCATTAGGAAATGTTTTTATGGTCTATATGATCTGATTACCTGCAGGATTTACATTCCCTATCCATTTCAATGGGGAGGCCCCACTTTCAATGCTGGAGAATCCTTTGCAATGATGGCTGCTTCTGTTGTTTCACTTTTTGAGGTCAAGTTACAAGCTCTTCATCTTTTTCATCTGCTAGCTATTGTGCCTTCCAGTTGCCTTGATTCTGATATTAAGATGTTACAGAGTACTGGAACGTTTTTCGCCACGTCGAGATATGGCAGTGCAACTCCGGTGCCTGCGTCGATCATCAGCCGTGGTAGTGGTTGGTTGGTAAGATGTGTGCATCAGTGTCTAATTTTCCCTAGTGTTGGAATTTTATGTTCTAAGCAATTCTTGTTCAATCTCAGGGAGTAGGAGTTTTGCTCAATGGCGTCTTTGGCTCTGTTACTGGCACTTGTGCATCTGTGTAAGAATAGAATATATTTCATTAGTTTGCATAACTTAACAAAATTGTATCACAAGCTCAAGTTGGTTGGCTGTTGCACCTTGCAAAACATTTTAGGTGAGATACCATACCGGTCAGAGAGGAGAACGAAACATTCCTTATAAGGGGTGTAAAAACCTCTCTCTAGTAGACGCATTTTAAAATCTTGAGGAGAAACCCAAAAGAAAAATCACAAAGAGAACAATATCTACTTGCGGTGAGCTTGGGCTGTTATAAATAGTGTCAGAGTCATGTGCCAATGAGGACGTTGGACCCCCTGTGGGGGTGGATTGTGAGATCCCACATCGGTTGGAGAGAAGAACGAATCATTCCTTATAAGAGTGTGGAAACCTCTCCCTCGTAGACGCGTTTTAAAATCTCGAAAGAAAACCCATAAGAAAAAGTTCAAAGAGGACAATATCTATTAAGCCCATTACATTTTAACATCCGGAAACCATCCAATACCATAATTGTATAGCGAGCCAACCCCATTTATCACATGTTCGGGATGTTTTTCTCTAATGATTCTTAAATATGTAGGGAAAATGCTGGTCTATTAGCTTTGACAAGAGTTG